GTGGTGGTCTCCCCTCTGTAGAGGTCAGTCCGTCGGCCGCCACAGGTCGAGTTTCTAGTGTCCCTGGTGGGTTAGGGCCCGTGGACTGCAGCCCGTGTTTGTGTGCGGGTCTGCGTGAGACCGACCTCCGGACTCTCCGCCCCGTGCGCCGGCCGGCCTCTGCCGAGTCTGTCTCAGTCCCAGATAGGCATCAGCGCCGCGGTGGCGGCGGAAGCTGACACTCGATTACGAGTGGCGCGAAGGACGGCCCGCCGGCCGGCCCCGCCCCGTCAGCGGGGCTCTCGGCGGACCGACGGGTTCAGAGGGGCCGCAGCGGGCCCACCGGCCGCCGCTTGGTCCCCGATTATCACCGGACTGGCAGAGCCCCGCCTACCGCCGGGACGGGATGACATTCCAGCGGAAACTCGCCGTCTCCGGTGGGGGGGGGGGACAGCCGCGACATCGGCACACGACGGCCGGCGCCGACACCGTGCCTGACCTGACCCAATCCAGACAGCAGCCTCGGGCGCGGGCGTGGTGCGGACCTGGCCGGGATCAGCCGCAGCGCGGACTAACCCCGGGCGGCGGCGCCCTCGTGATGATAGTTCCACCCGTCTGGGAGCGCCTCCGCCTGCCTTTGTATCCTCTGAGCCGATACACATTGACGCGATAATGTGAGTGCGGGGTCAGCGAAAGGGCCCACCGGCCAGCTAATTGACACCAGCAGCTTCAATTAGTGGACCGGACGCGGCCGGTGTCGGCGGCACAAACAGTGGCTCTCCCAGGCCGAGTGTTTGTGCGCAGACCACCCGGCCAATCGCGGCGACACCACGCCGCCCGGCCGGCTGATGGCTCCATCGCCGCCGCCCGCGGACACGCACTAAGCTGATTACGTGTGTCTTTGTGGCCGTGTGTGAGCCGGGGCCGAGCCGGAGCGGCGGCAGCTATTGAGGAGCGGCCACCGGGCCGGGTCGGCGCCTCCCTCCGCTAGTGTGGTCTGAAGAGGGACGACAGGGGACCGATGGACGGCCGCGCCGCACTGGCGGGCCAGAGACGGACGGAGACAGACGGAGACGGACGAAGAAGGCTGGGAACGAGCGGACACGGACCGGGTCGGGCGGGGCCGTGTCGAATCGTGCGACATGGCTTCATTAGCCGGCAGCGGCCGCGGGCCGGGTCGGGCCGCGCCTCCGCGCTGGGACCGGACCCGCGCCGACACACCTGTCGCCGACTGCACCGGCAGGAATGTGTCGCGGCGCCGCCTGTCGTCGCCGGCTAGCCGCGCACTAATCGGCCAAACCTGCTCGCCGCACCGAGCCGGCCAGATGCCGGCCGATTGTCTGATCTGGCGCGTCGATAGCCCGAGTAAAAATCACGTGGCATACCAGCCGCATTAGACACTGCAGTCGCTGACAGTGATGATGAGCAAAAAACACGGACCGAGCGGCCCGTCGCTCTGCAGAAGACGCGACCCAAAAGTCAGTGATGACGTTGGGAAATGACTATTGAGAAACGAGCCGACAGTGCGGACCCACCGCGACCCGGGGAGAAGAGAATATCACCGCTCCATTGATATCCTCGGACAAAAACCGGCGGCAAACAAACGGCGGAGCGTTTTTATTCTGACCGCGGCGTGCCGTCGACACCATACGGACCTGACGTTGACACCGTACCTCCGACACCGTCCGACACCGTACCGTCTCGGTCGGCCGCACAGAGCAGCGGGGCCGTGGGAGCTGGGACGGTGACACCATCCGGCTGCCCACCCGAGCCGGTCGCTCTGCAGCGCCGCTCGTCAGACGGTGTAATTGGGATCCGCCGCCGCGCCGGCCGGCGGGCGGCGGCTCGGTGTCAATGGAGGCGACCCGAGCCGACCCTATCCGCGGCCGGCCAGACGCGCGCGCGTCGCCTGCAGAGCTGCGTGCCTTCTCCGATGGCGGTGAGAGGACCCGATCCCTCGCCACGTCACTCCTCGGCCGTGTCCGGTCACAGCTGGACAGCGCGATTCGCCACGGCCCGGCGGCGGTCGAGCGGCGCGCTGGACGGTCCCAGAAATCACTTGTAATGAGCAGCAGAGCAAAGAAACGCCACCGAAGAGGTCGTTAATGTCACCGCGCCGAGAGTAATGTCGGAAAAACTGTGACCTCGCATTAGGAGCGCGGCGTCTCGGGAGAGAATGGCAGCCGTGCCGGACCGGGGACAGCGCCGCTCGGCGTCCCAACGTCTCTGTTAGCGGACGAACAGCGGCGCTCTGGGCCCCGCTAATGACCGATTAGCGGGCCGGCCTCTTTGTGCGCTATCTCCGGCCCTCCGACTCTCTCTCCGGTCTGTAACAATCGCACCGGGGCGAGGACACTACAAAACCAGCCTGTCACCGCCAACTGCCGTCCGGTGGGCCACGTCAGCTCGAACTACATCGATTCCGGATGCCGGCGTGTCGGCATCTCGACTCCGGGATGAGCGCCGCCGCGGCTCGGCGAGGCTGGAGAAGAGGGCGAGGGAGAGGGCGGTGCGCGGAGCGGGAGGCGGGCGCAGCGCGTGCGTCGCGCCAGGGAGCCGGGCCGCCGCGCTGCCGCGCCGCCGGCCACGATTCCCAATAATTATGATAAGCGGCTGCGTGCAGCGTGTATCCCCATTCGGAAGACGCCAAAAAACGGGAGTAAGGATCGCCTAAATCAAACTGATGGCGCGCTGTGAGATGGGAAGTGGATAAGGGAGGAGCGTCGGCCGGAAAACGGTAGGCGTCTCGGCGCCGAGCACCGCTGCACGGAGCGCGGAGAGGCGTCGGAGGGGCGGGCGCAGAGCTCCTGTGGTCCGGTCAGACAGCGGCAGCGGCCGGCCAGCCCTGGACTCCAGCGGTGGCCGTGGCGGCGGTGGCGCGTGCATTCCGCGCTCGGCGTCACCTGTCCAGCCAAGGCCGCCGAGCGGCGCTCCTGGCCCTCCGAGGTGCCTCCTGACACGCTGCAGCAGGCCGCCGCGGGCCGGCAGCGACGTCGGTCGACCGGCCGCCACCGACAGGTGTCTGAGGAGCTGTGTAACGGGGCCCGACGGCAGCGGCACGCGGGGGTGTGGCCGCCGCACTGCTGCCGCACCCGGCGCGCCCGTCGCCGCCCGTTTATGTCGCCATCAACCGTCGGAGGCCGTCGACTGCGTCGCGCGCCGGTTTCATTTCGGTTTGATGCGCGTTTAATTCGATCTGGCCTGTGTATCATGCAGGTGTCTGTGGGCAGCGTCCGATCTCTCCAATGGAGGTGACTCGATACGATCTTTAGAGGCCGTTAGCCGCGCTCATGTCTCTGAGCTGACAATAAAACGGTAATTGGATCCGCCGGAGCGGACAGAGCAGGCGGCGGCGATCTTTGTCGCACCGCTGCGGCAGAGCGACAGTTGCAGGTGCAGCGGTCGGAGCCGCGCCGAGCAGCACACACCCACATACCTAAGGCAAATCGGCGGGGTCAGCGCGCGTCACTCTGCCATGAAGCATGGCATCACCGGGTGCTGATACTCAGTCAGTATCACCCGGTGATGATCCGTCACGGTTATGATTCCAATCCGTGGGAAGGCGCCCGACGGTTTTCGTCCGTGGTTCCGTGGCATCGCCATCTGGTCCGATCCACACGACCGGCAGGTCTGCAATCGGTTCATCAGAGGGGCCGAGAGGACCAGCCGACCGAGCGACCGACCGTACTGATCGAGCCGCCCGGCAGTTCGCTTAGAAATGACAACTTCTAACGCACTGAACGCCGACAAAAGGTGCACAAACCCAGAAACAATGTGTAACACGCTCAACAGATCAAGTGGAAAATCGACTCCTCACGGATAATTACGTGTGTTGGTTCGTAGTGGATCATAACTTGTGACACACGCGACACAACTACTATTTTTAACAGCAGGAATGTAAAAGGTTTCATTCGCCGACCACAAATCGTTTCACGGAGCAAACTACAACCACATTTCGCAGCAACAAACGGTACGAAACATGCAATGAATGCCACACAGACAGGGCTGATTGATACCGGTCAGCTGCAGACCCCGGCGGCTTAAAAGGCAGCCGTTCGGATCAGGGCACGACACACCGCAAACCATAGCAGGCGGCGGGCTGGCGGCGAGCTGGCGGGTCGTTTTCCGTCGCCGCTCGGTACCCAGCAGACCGGCAGCGGCGCCCGGCTCGGTCCTTCGGACAACAGGAAACATTACGGCGTTGGCCGGCCGACTGTGCTCGTAATGGCGCCGTAATGGCGGCCACGCCGCTCCCAGGGGGTCACACGGGTCACCGTGACGGCGACCCGAGCGGGCCGGCGGCGACCGGCGCCCGTCACAGCCGTCACATGAGGTCACAGCCGTCACAGCCGTCCGTCGGCCGTCACAAACGATCTCACGGCCGTTCGAACACGCGGAGATCGTCTTCAGCCGCCTCAGTTTCCTCCCGTATCTCTCGCTAAGACACCGGCTGTGCCTTATCTCTCTAATCGAGCGCGGCGCGCACACACTATCTAAGCTAGACTAGGGAGCTGGGCCGGGTCGAGAGAACAGCTGTCGCCATCTACGCAAGGACAAACTCGTCGGCAGCTTTAGGTGACATTGGCACTCGCAGGGACCACGCTACAGGCTTCCATCTCATTTCTTGGCCTACCAGGCTCGGAGAGTGAGGATTATCCCTGAGCAGATCATTGGGCCGTGTCGGTAAGTAGCGATTACATCTGAACAGGCCATTGAGGCTAGTGTTATAGTACCTGAGCGCTGATGGACCAGAAGAAATATGAGGACATGCAGACGTGATGGAAGTGAATTCTGAACAGCATTCTGTCTGGTATGGGTCACATTGTGATTCCGTGTTCACGCGCAACTATGTCATCTAGCACAGCGCGGGCGACAAATGCCATCACCTAAATGAGGCGCCGTTTGGATATTCAGCCGGAGCATGTCACGCGACTACACGTCGAACATCAGTGGTTGGCACGCGCTCGAACCAGCCCCTCGGTGCGACATTGCCGTACTCGGGCCTCTGTCTCGGTACTCACCATCCAGGAGAATGTGAAGGGCAGTCGGAGTGTAGCGTTGGCCGCCATCTCCGTCATGCGGAAGCTGTTGCCGTCGATGACGGCGCTGCTCGTGCTGCCAAAGTTGCAGAGGCCGGTGGTGAGCACCGGGTTCTGGTACTCCTTCAGGCAGAGTCGGAACGAGGTGCGGCACTGCAGTGGACACCGGTCGCCGGGGCCACGCGGCGCGTCCCCGCAGCAGCTACCGTCCCGCCGCTCGCCGCTCGGGTTCTGCACTTTCTGAATTTGTAGCTCGAAAAAGCCCGAGCCGGAAACCTGTGGGAGAACATGGGTTACTCGGTGTGCACTTGATGAAATCAGATTAGTTATAATGTGCTCATTTAGTGGAAGACGGATCCCCCATCAGCCAATGGGTCTTCCTCGAGAAGACACGGCTTGATAAAGTCCACTAGTTGACAGCTCATCTGAAATTCAACTGAGCAATAACAAGATTGACTGGAGCGAAGTAGAACATCTGTTAATCATAATGAAAAAGGGTATGTAAGGTAAACAGCTTTTGAAGAATAAGTTGAAACGTGTCAGATGACGTGTTCCTCAATTTTTGCAAAATATGTGGTTACGGTAGGCTTATAATTGCTCATTAGCTGCATGCAATTAGCAGGATGTGGATGCGTGTTGTTATTGCGGATATGCCCTTAACATGGTAATTGTATTGCAATTTGCAAGTTTGAAACAATTGGTTACGTGCAACACACCATTAAGCTAAACAAATTCTTCGGCACATGCGACGTCGTTTTAATAGCATTATCATGTAATTGTCATGTTATCTTCCTATAAACTGTTAATAGGTTCGGTAGTGTATACGTTCAAATGTAGTTTGTAATTTGTTTTCCGTAAAATTATATCTGCTTTACTGCATGGAAATTAAAACAAATTGCAATATGTGTGATTGCACACAGTCGATATCATTATGTTAAACCTAAAAAAATTAAGGTGCATTTTGCTGAGCAGTGGGCACGCTTACGACAATAAATTCAGTTTTATGATCCCCTTAGGTTGCTATTGTCCTGAATAGGATATTTTGCGTATAATTTCAGCTAAATTTAAACGGAAACGATATAAAATTTCCGAACGAAAATGGGTATTGATGATGCAGGTAGAGGTGATTAGATATGCTGGGTAGATAATTATTAATTATCGCACGATTGGACAAAGCTACCTATCGTTGTTGCACGATGCCGAGGGGGCTTACCTGTCCAATAATGAGGGCCAGCAGGGTCACGGAGGCCCACATGATCGCCGCTCCTCGATCGGCCCGCATCGCTCGCCACTGGCGCGGCCCGGGGCCGGCTCTGCGCGCACTGTCCGTCCCTGAGCTCAGCACTCTCCGACCGATCACTGACGACCGCTGTAGGCGTCACACATCACACGCTCCCACCGCTCTCGACCACAGCGCGCTTCACTCGCGACTACTGAGCGCACCCGGCCAGCCTGCCGGCCGCTACCTGACGCGCATGCGCGCTGAGACCGAGCGCCGCGCCGGGCGGGCGGACCGGCCGGCCGGCCCGGTGACCGCGCGGGAGCGCACAAAAAGGTCATAGAGAGGCAGGTAATTAAACCGATAGTTAGTTATCTAAAGCTAATTAGAGAATTATCCCCGAGAAGATAGATGGAAGGGTTTGTCAGGAGTCGGGACCCGGTGACAGACTGAGGACTGCGGGTCACACGCGCTCTGCGATCGAGAGAGACCCGGGACCGAGACGGACGGAGACACCGGCCGTCTTTTCCGGGGGTCGCCGGTGAAACTGAACGGCAGCTGACAGTAAAGCATTCCGAGGGCTAGTGGATGGAATGGGAGCCGCGTCCGGTTTGGAGACACTGGACTAACGAACAAAACACTAACGAACGACAGGCCAGACGCAATGACCTCGTCACACGGAAGTTCTGGGGCTGGGGAGGCGGTGGGAATCCTCAGAAAATGGTGCGTGGCCAACAGCAATAATTTGGGACGAGAGGAAAATTGAAAATTACTCAAGTACTTAGTACTTACGTGTCAAAAATATATTTAATTGACCCCTGAGTATGCCGACTAAGCCTTTTGTAAGGACATTTGCATTTGAAAATGACATTTGAAAACGGGTCCAGTTAAATTTCATACAAAACAGACTATAAGTTATTTAAATACGATATACATACTATATACATGCTACATACATACTATACATTGCATATGCATACTATTATAGCGTTATCTTTTACTCATAATACATCTTCGTTTTCGTCTCGTCACTGAGTCATCTTTTTGTAATTGTATGCTCATAAGCGTAACAGCCTACCCTATCAAGTTCGTAAGTCATGAATAAACAGTGGTTAGAAAAGTTTCGGTCAGCCCCTTTATACGAGACAAACGCTAACTTCTACATTCCACATCTGACATCCGTAAAGATAGCACACTGTCCCGCGCAGCTGCGGAGTACGGCGGTGCAGCCTACCTAACGGCGAACGCCGCCGCCGCAGGGGTAGGCCGCCCGCAATACATGGAAGCACTGTGGCACAGTATCGCGCGGCGTCAATAGCATTGTCTTATGATTTAGGTATATACCACAAACTGAAACCGTATATGCGTGGGGACGTTCAAGCACTGCCAGCGGACTTAATATGTATTTTTCTTAACTGTTTATTTTTAAATGTGTTAAGCACAGGCGAACGGAGGAGTGCCGCGGAAGAACAAACAAAAAAGAAAATGTAACATTCCATTCAGTTCAGTTTTTGTCATGCATCTATTTTCCGTATCATATATTTCTAACACAGGACTAAAGCATTCTTACTAAAGCACACAACTTTCTATTGTAACCAAATACATTTTAAAATGTTACCGTTACATATGTGCGGATTATCGTCAGATGGGCTCTGTTTCGCGCTGCAACATCGTGACGTGTCGCGAGATTGCCCCGCCAACCGCTGCAAGATGCCCTTCAGCTACCGCACAAAAATGGCCTACCCGGCTTTTTGAAGGAAGGAGACCTTCAACAGAGCTCTTTCACCGGGCCAACTATAGTCAAAAGATATCACCACTGCAATGCAAGCTCTACGGCGTTTTATAGAGGTCTGCTGTATTCTACTTATTGAAATGTGATTCTCCAGTGTAGAGGCACAGGGCTTAGAAAAGTTAAAATGTATAGCCTCATCTGAAAGTGAACTCAAGATGCTCAGGATAGACAAAAGGCAAACAGATTCACAAACTGTATTTCCAAACAAAACTGACCAAATTCTAAATCAGTTTATTCAAACAGCTTTTACATAAATATCCCATTGCAGATGTTGATAACTGAGCGGTCTCGGCGCTGCGCGCCAGTCAGGTGCCGACTTGGCTGTTGGGCCCCTCCTTCCCTTTGACAGCCGCGCCGCCGAAAACGGGCAGCTGGTAGCAGTGGGCTACCTGGACCAGTTGGTACCTCACCGGCACACCCCGCACCCCAGTCCGGCGGCCCGTCAGCTCGGCGATTTGTCGATGCCACGTTCAAAAGACCTAAAGACCGGCGTGATAAGATACAGATCGCACTAAATGACTGGTATATTTGGGCGGACAGCCACACGGCACGGTGAGCGTTGCCACAAAGCCGACAGACAAAAAAGCTACATTTTGTCATTCCGTGAATGCGCCAGTGTTGACAAAACAATTCTGGGAGGCCGGCTCTCCGATAAACCACACAGATACCAATTCGCTTCTGATGGGTAATAGCTCACCCATTTAACATTTGGAAACGGGGAAAATAGCCGACTAATAGCCAATCATAGGGATTGCAACCAAAAATACCGCACAGGTTTCGACAGCTTCAATATTGCCGGCACTCCTTACATGTTACAATTATGCGCATTTGACACAAATAAATGTTTACTGAGAAGTGAGATGTATTACTATCATATTTGTTTAACTGATAAATGCAGACAAAACTCAAGCTACTAAGCTGCCTTTTTAATTTTGAACCACATGACACCCTGTTGTTCTTGTGTTTGATAAATTGTGGCTGCCATATTTTTAATATAATTTGCATAGATAATATAAGATATCTGCCGGCTTTGTTTTTTATACTTTTTTCAGTACGAGCTTATGTAAAACAAACCAAAACTATATCTCTTACAATATCAGCGCCGAAACAAAAGACGATTGCAGCATCCTTCCGTTCAACCATAAGAAAAGCAATAATTGCATGCTCGTTTTAATGCAGCTGAATAACTTTCCCTTCTGTTTTCTACAGTTTATAAGATCATTTGAAGGAATCTGAGCAACCATCACTAACCATCACGTGTACGTTGTTTGAGAGCCTCCAAAGGCAACTCGCCTCGGTGCAAGAATGAGAGTCCTGCGCCATTCCGACGCGCGCTCGCGTGCTTTCCGTGTTTCCAGTGTTGACCGCAGCCCGGATGTGTGGGTACATACTTGCAGACGGAACTTTGAACTGCTACAATTTCTGCGCAATTCTTGTGTTTTTGCAATGACTGTAATGCACGCGCTAGTGCCTGTGCATTGTGCTCGTTCAGATAAGGACGCTCAGCGATCACTCATAGAGTTACGTTCACGTAGTTACGCTCCATGCCATCCAAGAGACATGAAACATAATTCTGAATAGAACCTTCATAAATACCTATCTAGAGTACCTTAATCCGTAATCTTTAAGATCAAGTAAAATATGCTAATTATTTTATGGTACAGTCCCATGCCAGTGAAACAGACAACAGTCGTACTATAGTTTTTTTGCCCCACGGCCAACCTTTGTGCAAATTTGAATGAGTTTTATACGTTAGTTCAGGATCATTATTAAAACGTCGAATCATCCATAGACTCCATTCCAGCCGCCAGTCCTTTGTAACTGTGGACTGTTACTAAGGCCTAACTGGATCATCCTGCATTGTTTTCGCTGCACGTAAATTCGCACTCATTTTATGGTTCTCAAATGTCGCATGACAGGACTAGTCCTTAAATACACGACGATAGCGATCACGGAACATCTGCTTATCCCATTCTTTGGTCTGGTTATTCACCCACATGGCCTGGTGATGACAGTCGCCGAAAAGAGGTGACTAAAAAGTGGCTGTACAATATGCTGCAGATTGTTTAAAGTTATTACTGACTGGTGCCCGTAATTTTATCGCAAATACTTATCATTATCAACCCAATGAAATATCATATTGTCCCTTCAGAGTAACGAATTTACAATTCTTAAAGTCCATATGCAATAGACATTTGATCGTTTTGACTAATATTTAGATGCACCTTTTATTATAGCTCAGCTGTTACATCACGGCTCAAAATGTAAAAAAGTGATAGTTATTCACCATCACCATTAGCCATCGCTGTACTACCCAGGGAAATCAGCAAAATCAATGTTAAATATTTATCGTAAACCAAGTCAATCAAAAACCCCACTACACCAATGAACATCAATGCAGTTATTTGCTATCAATGGAAGCCCTTTCAATGCACGTGTCTACTGCTGGTCAAACCTGCTCTGCCATGTGTCGCCGACATGACATCACGCGTCTGGGGCTATTTTCCTGTTCGGCTCGAAACTGACGTGGCTGGTCCGGCGTTTGGGGCCGTAGTTCGTCGGTAATTCGTATGAATTATCTAGAATCTGACAAGAGCGTTTCAAACAGAGCAATTTCACCACGTTTGGGGATGAAACAGAAGTACAATTATTATGGTTTATAGGTAGCTGGATTATCCACATGCTAGTAGTGGCGATGTAAATTCTTTTTCCTTTGAATTTACTGAACATTGATGCTTGACGCGCCAATTCCACAAGGTGACACTAGCAATAGCATGCTACTTTTTCAGCAAGCAACAATCTCGGTAGAATTACATAAGTAGCAATTTTTGCCGCTCTGCAGTAGGTACGTAAATCCATGGACTTTCTGTCATAAACTACATGTAGGCGTGCAGACAAACGTGACCTGAATGTATTCAGCAGCTATCTATCAGACCACTACCAGCGAGTAATGATTCAGACACCAGATGGCGAACGAGTCACATCACAGCCGCTACTGAACCCGATCGGAACCTACCAGGGATCGGCCCTGGGCCCACTCATGTTCTCCGTCTATGCGCTCGATCTGCCTCTGCACAGGCATGACTCGCTTCCACACAGTGACTGTCTTGTCCAGTACGCCGATGACTGTCAGGTGGCAGTGTTTGGACGACCCAGTGACAGTGCCGCCCTTGTCCGGTCGATGGAGCTCAACTTAGACTCGCTTTCGAAATGGTTCTGCAAAAATGGCATGAAAATTAACGCAGACAAAACTCAACTCATAGTATTTGGCTCAAGACAAATTCTGAAACAACTACCCACCATCTCCGTTCATTTCATGGGATCTACCGTCACCGGCTGCCCCAGTTTGAAGAACCTGGGAGTGGTTTTCGACCAGCAAATGACGTTCGCTTCACATGTTGACGATGTCGTTCGGCGCTGTACCGGCATGCTCGTCGG